GTCTTAGGGTAATCTTGGCATCTGCTCTGTGTAGCTATTATTCAAAGTCAATGGTGGTTCACGTGGCTATTTTATTTAATGTAGGTGCTAGATGTTAGATATTGCCATATAATGATCTGCCTATTCAAGCTTTTTTTTTTATGGTTTACTGACATGTGTCTGGTATGCCAGGATGACAGTTTCAAGAAGATCAGGGTACATTACTGTGTATTGATGAGACGGTGTTATTTTGACAGTGATTGGCAAGGTCACTAGTGACGTGTGCTTGATAGTATGGCTAGTTCTCTTGCCCTGCCTGGCCATGGGCTGTGCTTTGCTGCGACTATTTATGTATCCTAGTCTTTCTTATCCTCCTTTTTCTTCTGTTTTTTTTTTTCTCTCATGTTCTTCTTCTTCCTCTTCCTCCTCCTCTTCTTCTTCTTCCTCTTCCTTCTCTTCTTGCTCCTCTTCCTCCTCTTCTTCCTCCTCTTCCTCCTCCTCCTCCTCCTCCTCTTCTTCCTCTTCTTCCTCCTCCTCCTCCTCCTCCTCCTCCTCCTCCTCCTCCTCCTCCTCCTCCTCTCCCCAGTCTCTCTCTCTCTATTTTTTATTCTCCATCTGCTTTATAGTTTGCTTCTCCTGTTTGTGTTCTCTACCTCAATTTTTCCTCCCTATCTTCCTGGAGGTATGGGTGCTTTGCAATTGCAAAGCCATAGGTTTGTTATTGGTCACAGTCAGCTTAGTTGTGAATGAGGTCTGGGATCAGCTGCTGGGGGCAAAATCAAGGTGGAAAGGAACTGCCCACCCTGCCTCATAGTCCTGGCACTTAGTAGGCACGTTCCTACATGTGCCTGGCATTCACTTGGGATATGGAGCTTCTCTCTCTCTCTCTCTCTCTCTCTCTCTCTCTCTCTCTCTCTCTCTCTCTCTCTCTCTCTCTCTCTCTCTCTCTCTCTCTCTCTCTCTCTCTCTCTCTCTTTCTCTCTTTCTCTCTTTCTCTCTTTCTCTCTCATTCTCTCTCTCTCTCTCTCTCTCTCTCTCTCTCTCTCTCTCTCTCTCTCTCTCTCTCTCTCTCTCTCTCTCTCTCTCTCTCTCTCTCTCTCTCTCTCTCTCTCTCTCTATTTCTTCCCATTGTATTATTATACTTTGTTTCTGCTTCTCTTCTTTTTCTGCTCTTCCTCCTTGTCTCTTTCCTCTTCTTCATTCTCATTCTCCTCCACCTTGTCACTCCTCTTTTTCTTCAGTCTTGTTATTCTGTTCACTCCTCCTCCTCCTCCTCCTCCTCATTTTGTTCCACCTTCAACACCACCACCATTAGCTCCTCCTGTTGCTCAACATACAAAAGTGCGCATATCCAGGATGGAGAAGACCTGAATTTGTCTGCAAATAGGGTTTGCATAGATACCTTGATTTACAAAGTCTCTCTTTCAAGTTTTATGAATGAAAGCACTACAACTGGTTCAACCACCATTGACAGAACCCAGCATCGTCTGAATGAAAGAGCAGTGAGGGTGAGGCACAGAGACCTCACTCGGCAGAATGTGTCAATAATGTGACGAACTGGGTAGTTTTTGATCAATGTCAAAATCACGTGATGGATAGGAAGCCTCAGTGTAGAGGTAGAGGTATACAGATGCTTTTTAAATTGATATAGATATACAAGTGCTTCTGAAACAGCTGTGGATGGTTAGGTGCTAGTTAGGCAGGTGTAGATGTAGAAATGCTTTTCCAAGCTAATGCGAATGTTTGTAAAACCTGGACATTTGACGGTCAGTGGTGCTTGTGTAGGTGTTTGTACAGCTGGTTGTCAGCAGAGCAAGCGTGGATGTATGAATGTTACTAAAGAGGATGTGGGCGATGAATGTTCATAGAACTAAGGTGGATGTTTAAAGAAAAAGATGAGGGATAAATCACGGCAGAACTAGTATGGATCTGGATATCTAAACACTTGTAAAACCAACCTAGGTGAAATTGCCCCCAGAGACCAAAGCGACGCATGTCGTGATGTGATGTCAAGAAAGCTGTCTGCAATTTACTTGTGTTTTATGGGCGCAAATATTCAAGACTACATTTCATATTTTGATTTGGTAGAGGGGGAAACTCTTATAATAGCAACACCACGAAAACGAAATTGTTGATGACATGACAAAAGATATTTGTGTATATATATTTGTGTGTATGTATATAAGGTTGTGTATTGTGTGTGTGCCTGAAGAAACAAAATAGTAAAAAGGCCTAAGGCATATTTATATTTTTTGCTCGTCCCTCTTTTGTGTTTGTGTGTGTTTGTTTATTTGTTTGTTTGTTTGTTTTTGCCTGTTTGATTTTGCTTGCTTTGCTCTGTGGAGAGTCAGTTAGGCTTACACTTGTACATTAGAAGTAATTTTTTTTTCTAATATTTTGGTAAGTGGTTGGTAAGATCAGAAGGGAAACCCACAGATAAGTAGGGCTCAGAACATTTGCAATTTAGTGAAAAATCAGGCAAATGAATATCTCCTTTTCTCTAAAAAGTGGCCCATTTATC